TTTAACTTGGCAGTCTGTAATGGTGCAAGCCACGATGCAGCATGTGCTAGGGAGTTTCTCTGGCATCTGAACTGCAAATGCAGACAAGTCATGAGCTGGGCTGTAAGCCCCACTGATTCCTTCTCCTTTACACACATCCGCAGCTGAGGTAAAGGTTCTTCACCCGAGGTAGCTTCGTTCTTATCACTGGAAAGTATTGGGTGTGACTATGGGGTAGAGACAGACGTCGCCTTACATCACATTTCTGGCACTGTAGAATTTCTTATGGAGGCACAGACAGCGAGCAAATGGACATCCCTACACTGCTGGGGCGCAATAGAGGCAATGTTAAATAGGGCCACTTTATTGCAGTCAGGACATCTGTTTGTTCTATGGCAGGAGAGTGTGAGCATCCCGGAGCTGCCTGCACTCTCCAGTTGCCTCGGGCAGGTGCTCTGGGGGCCTGATCCTGTGAACCTTGGGAATTTCCACTCAGGATCAGGGCTCTCAAGCCCCTGGAGCACCTGCCGGTTTCTCCTGTTTGTATAGACATCTCTCAGGGAATCTCAGGCACATCTCTGTAAGCAGGAAAATCCAGGGTTCTGTACTCACGGACACCTACCCTGGGATGTTCACTGATGTGTCTTCATAAGTGGAAAACACCTGTGCAAATCCCGGTGTGGAGGCAGGGAATTCCCCTGGCACCCTGTTTCTCCATGCCAGGACCTGCACAGCCCCTTGCCTCCATGCTGGGACCAGTGCCAAGTCCTATGCCTACCTGTGCTTCACATGGAGGCATGGGTCAGCATGTAGGCACAGGGTGCTGAGGAATGCTTGGGTCCCTCCCTGACCATGGCCTCTGCATGAGCCATGGGTTGGCATGAGACATGGGTTGCAGCTAGGAGGCGGGAGGAAGAGGGGAACATGGTGAATCCCTGGGCAAGGGCACGTGTTGCCTGTTGGTATACATCGTGCCCCTGCCCAATGTGGGGCAGTGGATGACGTGTCTTGCCCAATAAAGCAGAGCTGCGGTGGCAAGATGTGATCCCGCACAACTTGATCTGCTTTGTTTAACGATGTCAGTTTGTGCCCTGGAATTCAGTACAGAGTCCAGCCCCTGATGTCTCGCTGTGCTGGCCCCACTGAATCACCTAACTAGGTTTAGGCCTGATCCCCTTGTGGGATCTACCTCTTGCCAGAAGCCCATCTTCTCTGATGCCTGAACATTAGGCACTAATGCTGCTGCATCTGGTACATGCACAGGAAAATGCCAGCTGAGCACATGCCTGAGTGCAGAGTGGGGCTTGTTTAATGCCATGTCACTGCAGAGTCTCATGTTTCAAGTGTTCTGCCCAGACAGAAGCTATTCAGGGATCTAAGCTAAAACCCTAAGGCTTTGGCCCAGTGCTGTAAGCCAGGTGATAGGATGCTGTGCCATGCCCTTCAGTGTACAGGGGACAACCAGCTTGCAGCTGAGCACACTTTCTTTGTTGTAGGTACAGCGTGCAACTCCCATAGACCTGAGTGACCATCCAAACCACGCATGTCTTTAAAATAGAGCCCAATCCTGGGGCACCAGTATCATGTAGTTCAGGGGTGGGCCAGATGTGGCCTGCCAGGCCATTCTATTCAGCCCATGGGGCCCCTAAAAAATTTAGAAAATAAATATTTATCTGCCCCTGGCTGCTTGTCATGCGGCCCTCGATGGCTTGTCAAAACTCAGTAAACGGCTCTGTGCCCAAAATAATTGCCTGCTCTGATGTAGTTATTGTTGCATTTTTCTCTTCTGTCCAGAAGAACAATCGACTCTACCAGGTCTCCGTGGGGCAGTGCATGAAAGTTGTTGACCCACTGAGCCATAAAGGGTACGTGACCATGGCTATCTGTGATGGCTCCCTTCCTCAGCAATGGCATTTGGAGAGCTGACAAGCCAGTGGTCCAGAGACGCCATTCACCAAGATGGGTCTATACCTTCAGCTGTTGGTTTCCAAGTGATTCTAGAGGGCTCGCAAGGAGCCCTTGGCTGCTATCCCCGACACAAACTGGATTGTGTTACATCACTATTTTGCCCCACAGACCTGTGTGCTTGAGGAGACTCAGATGGGCGGCTGGACTGGACTGGCCAGATGCAGCAGCTGTCTGGCTACAGAATCTCAACCCTCGTAGAAGTGCAATTTATCACCAGCTCCTCAGATTAGCCTGGATCCTTGAACTGTGCTGATGTAAGAGGAAATAATTAGAGCTGTATAATTTGAATTGTGGTAAGATTTTAACTCTGTGGCCCTTTGTCACGACAGTGATGAGACAGAAGTTCCCCTTGCACGTTTCACGTGAAGCAGCACGTCAAGTCACAATGTCCATCTGTTTGAATTATTCCACCTCATCTGGAATATTTTTGATTCTTTTTATCTCCTGAAAATTGCCACTTGTAATATTTAAATTTTAGTTCCTTTAATATGCAGTTCTAGTACATTTCCCATAGGTACTTTTTGCTGTCAGTTATCATGCAGGATTGAAAACAGGTGATGTCTGCACCGATAGCTGGGGCTGACCATAAGGTGCTCCTCCAGCCCATACACATGGACCCTTAATCCTGGAAGCCCCTGAGCCAAGTCCCTGGAGGTTGTCCAGCTTGACCCTGGAAGCTCTGTTGAATTTCTGGCTAAGAGATGGAGCCCACTCTTGCTGTCCTCTGAGCCCTTTTGTTTTGGCAGCATATTCTGAACTTGATCTGCACTGCTGAAAGCCTTGAGTGCAGCACATCTGCCAACAGCAACCCTGCAACCCCACACAGAGACAAGAAGTCTGCAACCATGCTCCTAGAAGGTGCAGAGTCTGATATGATAAAACTGAGGAAAGGAAGCTGAGGGTCACCTTAATGTCGCCCTTAGTATCGGTGTAGACTCACCCAGACTTACTATTGCAAATGTCATTTCACCGATTCATGACAGCATCTACATTTAAAATAAAGTATTCCAGTTTTTTAATAAAATCAGCATTGCTGTGTGGTCTTTGGTCTTGGGGTTCAGAAGTGCAGACTGCAAGAGATGGATGCAAACCAAGTCTAAGTAACTTGGCCTGTGCTAATTAGGATACCTTTGTCCAAGGAGATTGAAACGGGCCGTTTTGCAAAGCTGCTTGTAGGGAGAAGGGAACAGAGGCACAGAGATATGCTAAGGGACTTGCCCAAAGTTACAAAGGGAATCTGTAATAAACACAGACCTCCTGAGTTTTGATCAGCACCTTGACTCCAAAACTATCCTTCCTTTTCCTTCCTCCAAGTACCTTCCCCCTCCCTCAACCTGTCTCCTCCTTCCCTATTTCCTCTTTCTTTATCTTGGCCCGTGTTGAGCTAGAGCCCCCCACAGTGACACCTCTCCCCTGTCCCATTATTGAAGCATGGCTGGATTAGTATGAAACCTGAGGCGCAACTAATAGATTTCACTGCCGTAAGAGACCTGCAGATCTTTGATGAAGCAACAGACTTCAGGAGAACCTGGGCATTAGAGTGACATTGTCATTATTGAACAGTTATGGTCAGTACTGACCCCGTGCACCACAATGACACCTGCTTATCAGCTTGATGAATACCATAGTGTTGATTTAATTATCCAGCCAATGGTTTCCCTCTGCTATGCCTGGATTTCACTGGTGCAAAATAAAATTTCAACTAATTCAAGGCTTGCTCCATCAGGAACTCCCTTCCCTGTGTGTCAGCAGGTAGTGAGTTCAAGTTCCACACTTCCAAGATCATAACTTGTCTTACCTAGATTACAGGTGAACTTGTAAGTGGGCTACTGATAAAAGAGGCAAGAGACAGGTCTACAGCCAAGCCTATTATTGCTTGCACCCCAAAACACAAAACCAAACACTTTACCCAGTCTATTTGGCCACCCGTGACAGGACAATATAGATTCTTACCTATACTGGCTGGAGACAAGAGGGAGAGAGGGTGGCAAGCAGGTTGGCTATAGGTCATCTTGACATTGCCGAGTTCTCCAAATTTCTGTCTAGTCTATACCTTTATTCTAATATTCTAATAAATCTGCTCAGATTGGTTTAAGTTAAAACTTGTTTTGCTGAAACTTTTGGGATTGGACTGAACCAGTTCTCTTGTGACCTTGGAAAGCATCAGTTAGTTGGTATTTATGTCCTTGGGAAACTAGAAGAGAGAGTTTATCTTCTTGCTTCAACCACCAAGGAGGCTGTTTGTCACCATCCTGTTGGCTCGTTGCCTCAGTTTAAGATTTTTACTGACAAGGACTGCTTTATTTTTACAACACATCCAAGAAACTTAACTAAAATACAGGTACTGGAGAACAACAGCATTTAATACTTTTGGTTATATCAATCACTACCACTAGCATTTTAAGATAAAGCTATGATACCGTATGTGGATTATCTAATTCAAGGTGGTCTTTTACAATGTCTCCTTTTAGGCCTTGTGCTCTGTTTAATTGTATTACTGGTTTAGCTGGCTGTGTTGATGGCTCCTTTCCTCTGCTGACCAAGCTGGTTGTCACCATCACAAAGGTTTACTTTGTGGTCACTCAGAAACAGGTTTTGGGGTATTCTGCTATAGCTACAGCTTGGTGTAGGCTCCTTGAAAATGGCCAAGGCTCCCAACATGCCCAAAGGAGAAAATGCCACCAACACAAACATTAGATGATCACCTTGTTCTCAGCGTTTCAGCCTGTGCCACTCTCTCTGGTTGACTCTTTGTTACCCTGCAAAGGCTGATGCACCTTCTTCCATCCTTGAAGTTTGCTGCTTCCCTTTTCTTCCTTCGCTGCCTTCCCACTTCATTTTACTGCTTCCCATGTCCTGGCTTCCATGGATGTAAAGATTTTCTTAGAGGCTGGGATCTGTTACATCAGAAATGAGAAATTTCTTCCCTGATGATTCTTTTTCTCATTAGCAACTTCTCTTCTCATTCTTCTCTAATGGGGG